TTAGGGCAGCGGCTTGTGTTCGGGGATGGTGGGGGAGGTGGCCCCGCTGGCCCCGCGGCTCGCGTCGCGCAGCGCCTCGTCGAAGCTCTGAGTCGAGTTAGAGCGGGACGCCACTTTGCCCTGTAACCAATCAAACATTTTAATTTTGCCAGACAATAGAAGTGTATTATATATAATAGAGGTTATGAAATAATTAAATTTTATTTCAGGATATTACGACAAATATTAACCATTCCTTTTTTATGTAAGGGTCAATGTTTTTTATTATGGAATCTGCTGATTTTTATTACTTTCTTGAATTTGCTTATAACAATCAAATGGCGGGATTCGAACCGTAGACCACGTGATCGGAAATCCGATCCCTTAACCATTAGGCACATTGACACTTCGGAATCAATTGACGTGATAGATGTATAGAGTGATAGATTAATTGAAAAACAAGATAAAAACAGTAAGTATGACTATGTGTTATACCTTGACGTTCTCGTAGGCAGTACCGACGCGCTCTTCGATGGAGCGGAAGGAGTCGGAGTTACGCATCTGTCCGAGCTTGCTGGACACGCCGGCCGTGATGCCGCCCAGGATAGACGTCGTCTTCTCAGCAGTCGATTTTATCACAGATTCAGTTTTTTGGTATCTGTCGATCGATACATATAACAATAATTAATCTTGTACGTATATTTGAAATTCCTAGAGCAAAGGATATGTATGGTATCGATTCTTTTTAACAATTTGCGTTTCAATATCTTTTATTAGTCTTTTTTTATGCCAGTATAGAAACGTCAGAATTTAGTGCGAACATAAAATCGTGCAGGCAATGGAAGCAGGACTCGGATCGGATGACCAGGATTTTATTGTCAGCTTAGCTGAGATCAATTACTGAACTCATTTCAAGGTTAAGTGTATATAGTTGTATGTATGCATATATAGACATGTATATATAAAACATATAATATGTATATAACAGTATGGTGTTTTGAATGTAGATTATTACTTTAAAGTTGTTAGTTTTTCCACGATAAACATAATCATGAAAACAAAAACATAAATCTATGTCAAATGTAAAGATAAATATAAATTTTATACATGACTATCTTAAACATATAGTTATTTCATTAAATATAATAATATCAAGTAGAGTAAGCGATAACTGATAACAAATTGTACAAAAAGTGTTGACGGCCTGTTGAAAAGAAAATGGGCGAATTAATTTTTTTATTCGAATCGTAATAAAGGGAGCTAGAATGTAACATTGGATTATCGCTGTCGCTTATAGAATCGACAAAATGTGTCAAAATGCATAGGCATAGTTACATGCACGTGACATCAAAAGTATTTGTCACTTCCAAAAATTTTTACATTTTCGATTAGCGACTTCTTATCAAATGTTACTTTGTTTATGAACAAAGATCAAGGTTAGAAAGCTAATTTCGAATTAATATTTCCTGCGATATTTTCTCGTATCAAAAGCTAATTAATTCTGGCTCATATATTTCACGGTTGTACAATATATTTAATAAACGACAAGACAAGGAAATACTGGTTTAAGCATAAAGTGTGGTTAGCGATGCAATCGGATCCGACGCACGATTCGATCCAGTTCCCGATTAAAACAAGACATTAGTATAAAAAAACGATACCTCAATAAACTCGTTATGTGCACGGAACGTTTCGTACAACTAACAATAAATTCTATATATTAAAATAGTTTTCAGTTTTTGCTTGAAGTCTTTTAAATAAAACTTTGTTTTATTATCCAATTGAATTAATTTGTCTATTATAATGACAAAAAAATGTCGAACTTTTTCAGCAATTAGAAGTCAAGGGCGATATATATTTTTTTAATTTAAAATAAGTTACATGTTACATGTAAAAGTAACAAATTTTTTATATTGCATAAAATTGTAACAGATCGATAAATATTATGTCTAGAGTTAAAATAGGTCAGTCAGTAATATTGGCTTTTATCGACAGTACTCACGAATCGTTACGTCACAATCCTACAATGTTAAGATTGCTACATATCACTAAATCACCAACTATATCGTAATTTGCGATGTGTACGAACAAAATGCTTTAGAAGTGTTTACGTAGACTTTTAATTTATCCTTTTGGTAATAACTTTCTGCACCGACACCGTTTACTACGCCTAGTGTTACTCTTAAGCAATTATATAACTACTTTCTTTTGGGTTAGAACAATTTTTAAATAATTTGAAAACCACATTAATCGTGCAAGCGGTAAGATTAAATATATTAGCAATAATATATAAAATAGCGTAGTGTAACCGTACTTACATTGGTGCTTCCGTCACAGCCTGCGTAAGAGCAGCGACTCGTGTTTCAATGGTTTGATAGCTGTTATGTAACAAACCAAATGAAAAGTCAAATGAAACGAAACAAATATAACGCAACCCGAAAAGCTCAAGCGGATCATACAGCAAGCGAAGTGGTAAAAATAATCTGTCTTACTAAATAACTATATAATGTTCTAACCCACGAGAAACATTCATTCACCTAATTAACTGTGCATATGATATTGTGGAAATAATATTAGTTGAGTGTTACTTACACTTGGCTCTCCTTTACGTTTTTCAAACCCTGATTGACGTCCTCGGTTATCTCCTTCCATACAGTTATGCCAAGTTTCCTCTTCAACTCCGAGCTTTGACGAATCTGAAATGGGTAAATATAATTCGTTTGTCGTTTGTAAGAGTCCATTCTAGACTATATAGAATATAACTAAAATTAAGAATAAAAATACAAATATCCATCCATCGTTTGCTGACCTTCGTATGTAATTTAATAGAGAAACACAACACACGGTAAAATTTGGTCTAGAGGCTGTGGATCTATCCTGTTTTTCGTTCAAAAATTAATGAGGATGACAAGGAAAAAGTCATTGCCAACTCCTTCTCCCACGTGATAAAAAACATAACTTTTTATATCAAAGAAATTCTTAAGTGGCGGCATCGTGGATCGAAATCAGGTTGTTGGCATACTGGTAACTTAACCGAGCGCCCGGACATTGAACTGCCGCGATCGCGTATTATAACTTACTTGTACAGTAACTATATGTAACAAACAATTGTTAAATTTAAAAAAAAAACGTTTATTCCTCAAAATGAATACGATAACCTGTATCGCAATACTTGAAGGAGAAGACCAAATTTCACTTTATTCTCCAAAACTGTCAAAATGTTTAGGTTACAAGTCAGAAAATAAAAATAATTGTTTATGACGGGACCTACCTTGCTCTGCAGCACTGTACGTAGCGTAGCGATCTCGTCCTCGACGCGGGCCAGCTCGTGGCTCCACTCGGCGCGGAGCTGCTCCACCTGCTCGGGTGACAGGCCCGCCAGCTCGTCAGGCGTGTGCGCGTCACCGCCGCCTGCACCACCAGCGCCTGGCATCGCTTCCTCAGCTAATAACCAAGCAGAAAAATCACTCAAATCCTTTGCTCACATCACTTGCAAACAGGATCGATTGTAAAAGTTTACACAATTCCACAACTTTTTTAATATTTTTTTTTTTTTTAAATATGCTTGCATAATAAATGGCGGAGTCTACGTGCTAGGTAATATAAAGACACTATCCTTGTGATACACGGAGCAGATAAATTTGGATGTACAACTTTCTCTTGCAATGAGTTGCATAGGATATTATAAACTCATGGTTATTTTTTCTGTGTTATTATTGGTCAAAGATGGTCATCGGAATGAGTGTAACATTAAATATTATTACTTGGACAATACAAATAACAATATATTTTTGTCTACGTCACAATAAATATTATACTTTAAATTTTATCCTACCATTTTTCTTTATTTCTGCCTTTTGAGTACCTAGTTTGTTTGATGTTTTGTAATCCTCTAATGAAGAGAAAGGCTTTAACTTAAGAAGATTAACACATTTAACTTGCGATTTTGCTTGATGTTACTGTCCGCATTTACCAAACATCTAATGGTCATTAGAGTGCAAAAAACTAGTACATTTAAGATTTCACTGCAAAATGTCGAAATGGCTTTAAATGTTTTTACATTCACAATTGTAAATGTTATGAAATTGTATTAGATTTCTTTATTTATTATATTTGCTATGAATATGGTGCGTCTACATCAGTGGTTCCCAAACTTATTTTATCTACCGCCCACTTTGAGAATAAATATTTTTTAGCGCCCCCATATTTTCACATATTTAAAAACCACTATAACTTCAAATTAAACTAATTAATTATTGTGACCTATATATGTATATTAACGGAGAATTCTAAACGAAACTTTTACTATAACCCGCAACTTGAGACCTGCAGCACAAGGTGGCGCTATCGCCCACTTTGGGAAACACTGGTCTACATGAACGACGGTGGACAGAGAGATGATGAGTACAATTCGTAAATTGGGATCGGTCTAAGTATAACTCCCATGCCTCCCACGCGCAACTTTAACAAAGATTTTAAACTTGTTCTGGAACCAGACTTATTCCGAATGTGCAAGAAATCTTATTAGGTAAAAGAAGACTTTATCAAACATATAAATAAAAAAAGGCTTTAGCTTCGCCCGGTACCTAACAAGACAATTTTAACATTTCATTAAGAAAATAAAAAGATATTTCGATTAGAATCAAATATAAATTTTAGAATCCAGTTGTTTAACGAATGTTGCCTTCGCATTCTCAGTATTAATAATGCTTAAGATTCTGTCCTGTAAAATGTGAGTTAAAAACATACAATTTGACTACATCATTATTGTTATTCAAACGAACAAAAGCAGAATAAATGAACGCTTATTTTATGAAAATGAAAGCTCTTTTCGGTCCGTTAAGTTTGTATAATGAAGTTTACATTTGTGTAAATACGAGTAAAAGTAACAATAACATAAAATATCTCATTAAATTTTTTAGCTATTATTTCAACGAAATTCTGAATTAGATTTCGAATTTAATATATTTAAAATAATGAATTAATACAGTCTACTTTGTAATGTTGATCGGTAATAATTAATTATATTGTGTTTAAATCAAAGGCAAGATCACACAATAGGTTACGATTAACGTATCTACATCGTTCGGTTACTAGTAAGTGTCTTAAACACCTTATTCATCCATATATCAGTAATTGAATAGAGAAATGTTATCGTATATAACTTGTGGTTAGGCGTATCACGTCATAATGTTTCACTATAATTAAATAGATATACAACTGACCGGAAATTGTGTAAACAACGTGGATATACAATAATTACAAGTATGAACAAAAGTTACGTCCGTCATGTTACGTATGGTCAATATTTACTTGTGATAGCTAACATTCCTTCTGTGTGGTTTATATATTTTTCCATATAAAAGTAATCTTACTAATATTATAAGTGCGAATGTTTGTATGTATGGATGGATGTTTGTTTGAAGAAATCTCTAGAACGGATGAACGGATCTCGACAAAATTTGGCATACATCTAGAACATAGTTTGGAAATATACACAGGCTACTAATTGCGTTTGTTTCATTCCACACGGACGGAGTCGCGGGCAACCGCTAGTGCATTATGAGATCGACTGCCAATTTACATTCGCAACTGTCGTCTTCATCAATTCGATGTTTGTTTATATTAACAGATATTTTATAATTGCAGTTCAAGTAGTAGCAAATATTATTCATACTTTTTATCAATAAAGGGCAATAATACTTGACCTCAATATAATAAAAATATGCAAACATCAACTCTGTACTCTGCGGTATCTAAACTACATAATATACTAATGCATACATGTTTATTAAATTAAAAAAATGACTAACGTGCTTAGGAAATATTGGGTAACAATATACATGCATCACAAAGTAATAACGATTACTCAATTGGAACATGAAATGTATGCAGTCTACTAATGAGCCCACTTATAGTACTAATCTGTAAGATTTCTGACCACCAAATACGTTGACTTTTTCTTTGATCCCTTGTTTCAAATACTACTTGTATATCCATCGAGTGATAGCCTTATTTTACGTTACCTCTGTCTAAATGTTGGTTCAAAGAAGTCAAGGACACAGCCAAATGGAAAAGAATAACAAAGAACGCACTCTACCACTATATGGAATACTAGCTACGAAGAAATACCTCTGTCTCAAGTCTTATATCTTCCTTATTTCACTAATTATAGTTATTAGATAGTTTAGAATGATGGATGTTTATTTGAATTTATCTCCAGAACGGAATAACAGATCTCGATTAAATTTGGCACATATGTAGAGAATTGTCTGGACGGACTCATAGGCTATTTTTTTTTAATTTACGCTCGGTCGGAGTAGCGGGCGACAGCTAGTATAAAACGTATGTCTCTCATAACACACCATTCTAGCCGATAGCTCGATAGATATAGAGGCAAGAACTGCATATTACGATGCTAATCCATAAAACAATTAAAATTAAATAATTCGTGATAGAATGCGCACTTATTTATCAATCTTAGTCAATCTGGCCGAAAATGAACTGGGCGCAGCGAGTTGAGTGTTCCGTTTATTTATTCAAAATGGTATTTCTTTTAGAACTGAATACATACGATGCTATGCCATCTAGAGGATGTTTCTAAAACTTGCTATGCGCTTTATCATAAAACCTGTTTAAAATTAAATTCGAAAACAACGGTGACTACATGAAACTCTTCAAATAACTTAAAACATCTGTTACAATTGTGGCACCATATGTGTTACTAACCTCCAGGCGTGATGCCCAGAAACTTTTTGTAATTTGTGTGACTGGAAACTTTTGCGAGATACGGTTTGGAGAGGTCTTGGAAGGTGACGCGCACTTCACGAATTTTTTTCCTGAATATTCGGAGTCGTCTGCGACGATTGTCCATGTAGAACTCTGTCTCGATGCAGAGCGCGGAGTCGGCCAGGTCGGGCAGCGCGCGCCAGTCCGCCTCGGCCTCGGAGTCGCGCGGCCAGCTCGCCAGCTCCTCCAGTTCGTCCAGCTCGTCTACCGCCACATCGAAACTGGGCGTCGAGTCGTCGTCCGGCGGCACGAAGTACGGATCCTCCATATACTCCAAGCTGGCGGGCTCCGCGCTTCCCTCACGCGTGTTCGCCATCTCACTATCTTCCTCTCCTACCGCGAATATCCATCATATTTTCGATAGCAGAATAACAACGAGTCGAATATGTCCACAGATGTCTTTTAATACACATTGGCGATGTTGAAATACCAAATAAAACATGTAACAATAAACGTTAGCAATCGGTGTGGTCAGAATGTTCACAGTCTACATGGTTCTATCACAGATAACAAACACTCGGCAAAATTTCAAAATTTGACAGCGCTGGCAATATGTCCGTGTTCCGGCTCCTCGCCACGTCGGAGCTCGTTAGCACGACCGGCCGCGTCCGTCTCGCGCCACTGCCTGACTGCTCCTATTCGCCACTTTCACCGACGACCACGCGAGCTACGATCTGGCTATTTTATATGATCTTGACCTCCAAACGTATTTGTCGCTTATTTGGAATAATTGAAATAAAATTTAGCAAACGCGAGCGAGAGCAAAGGTACTCTCGTAATACAGGCATCCGAGCGCACGACGTCGACTATCAAAACGAGTCCAAAAAGCGTACTCACCTTGTATTGCCAAAGTTTATTGACAGTGGTCGGGCCCGCGCCGAGTGAGCGGCGGCTGCGCGGACGCTGGAGCGCGGCACAACAGACTTACGTCATTTTTTACTTATCGACACGAAACGTAAAAACGCTGATTGCCAAACTATGAGTCACACCGATTTTACTTTACGAAATCAGAGACATAGACCTCGTGCAATCCAGTAAATGCTTTTGTTACTAGTTACTAAATCGTTTTCTACAATCATTTTTATGTTGAAAATATACCTCGTTATCGATAGGCTTCCTTTATGTACTTAACATATAAAATTAAAAATGATATCTAATGTTAAGACTCAGAAAGAGCCCACAGAGGTAAAAAAAACTTGTGATTACATAATTAGCATCATTGCACCAATTTCTTACTAAATGGTCTCAAATCTTCTAAAAAATATTTTATAGCTTTTGCTTAAATTTCATCAAAAGAGATGGTTCAACCCAAACTGTTTGGAATATATGTTTAACGGCTTACATAAAAGAGGCATAATAATAAAAGTACATTAATTTAAAAAAAGAAATGGAAATGGTGGGCCAAGTAGAAGCTGCCAGCAGGGAATGTGACATCTTTGTGGCAATCAATGGGAAACCACTACATCCAACGGTGTACACCAATCGTAGGCTCAAAAAGAATGAGAAGAAAATTTGTAGCTAAAATTTAACTTTGTAATTTAATATTTTTGTAAAATATAAATAAAAATTGATAATAAGTTACATGAGTGAAATAAAATGTGTTTTTATCTCTAGTAGTTAATTATACCAGTTGTTGCCCACAATACCATTGACGCGAAATTTTAAAAAAACTTGATTAGTAACCTATGTATTCTTCCAGATAGTGCTCTACAAAATACAAAATGTGATCCAGATCCATGCAGTGATTCTATAGGTACCTTCTAAAACATCTATTCATCCATCCAAACATTCTTGTTAATAAGAAGTAGGATAAGATTAATAATTATATTTCATAACTGTTTGGTTTTGTTCCAATATCAAGTTTAGTTCAAAAGTTTGATTCAAATTCAAATATTTGGCTATAAAGGAATACAGTTTTATATTTAAGTGTGGTACTGACGAATGAAATAATCTACAATTCTATTCTATACATAGTTTATGAAAAATAAAGTGTTATAGCACTTCAGAGGTTTCTTGTGATTTATCAAGAAATAGATAATCATCTACAGGACAATATCCTCGTACATGAGAACATCAAATATAATGAGACAAATACATATACATGGTATGACCACAATTGAATTGATGCTCTGAAACCTCTAAAGAATATTTGCTTTAAATATTTTTTACTTACCTGTTTGAACACCGCTCATTTCGCTAGGAAAAAGTTTCTACGTTTCAGTCTCAAAAAGTACTAAAGTATTTTAATGGGAATAGAAGTAAATAAAGTCAATTATAGTAAATACACGAAAACAAGCTGGTTGAACTTTATAAAACGCTTTGTTTCTTCTTCTCTTCTCCTCTATTGTTCAACAAAGAGTAAGAATTGTAAGAATACAAATTGTTCTTTTTATTTTCTGTGCACTAGGGATGGGCATTGATTATACGAAGTAGTTGAATCAACCGTTGATCACGCCACAACGCTTCAACGTCTAAACCGTTGATCGTTTTTCATTCCACTAGTTGAATTCAAAATATAGTTTACATACAGGAGTAGGAGCAAGTAAAAAATCTTTAATGGTTTTGGTTTCAACAAAAAGAAACGTTTATTTTCGTTATTTAACGTTTACTAAGTGGTATTTTTACATAGTTAAAACAATGAACATTGATTCAACGTACTAGTTGACTAAAACCTATCGTCCGTTGACCGTTTTACATTTAACTAAAACTTAAATTCTAGGTATGATTTACGCAGAAGTTACTTAGTTGACAATTGATTCAATTAATTCATTTGTTGAAAAAAGCAAATTAACGTTGCGCTTTGTTGCGCTTCATTAACGCGAAAACTGGCGACAACCATAAACGATTCATTCCCTAAAAGAAATCTGAACCGGTGAGAGAGGCGCTGTTATTGCGCTTGGTTGGTTGTTTCTGTCAAAAAATGTATTAAACTCACACTTTGAAATTGACATTGAGGTAAAGAAAATATGTCATGACAGTTACACAATGATAAAGAGGATTATAGTGACATTGACAGAGGGGCGCTAGTGAACTTTCATAATTTAGTTTAACTTATGTCCACTGGTTCAGAAAGCGTTGTGTACATGTTCCATACATACATTGATTTGGACTTCATATAAACGATTTTAGGCTTGCGCCTTTTTTTATTTTAGTAATAATTGGTTATAAATAAAACAATTAACAACTTTACTAAGACCAGTTGCGCTGTTTCGTTATTTAAATAACTTTATGTAGTCTGTATTTCAACGATGACATAGGTATATTTTATGTTTATATCATCTTCTTTGAAGTCTGCCCTGCTGCTATTCCTGTTCCTGTTGCGTTAAACTCAATTGTCTTCCTCAACCTGATCTATTACTTTTATCGAAAGTGATAAACACTTCTTTCATTAAGCATTTCTTCAATTACACCAAAATAGAAGCCAAACTAAGCGGTACGCTACTTCCAGAATGTTTTCTGTAAAATTTGTGTTCTTTTGTCTTATATGTTTTCAGTAAATCCTTTTTTCTTACTTAGATAGCTTGAGAAAATGTCTGCCACGGCTTTATTTGGAAATACCTCGGCACTAGGAGGAAGTTCCGGGGGTAACAAACATTTAGTAGAATTTCGCGCAGGAAGAATGACTTTAAAAGGTCGCATGGTACATCCAGACAAAAGGAAGGGCTTGTTATATGTGTACCAAGGCGAGGACTCTTTGATGCATTTCTGTTGGAAAGATCGCACCACCGGGGAGGTAGAAGATGATCTTCTAATTTTCCCTGATGACTGTGAATTTGTACGCGTATCTGAGTGCACTACCGGTCGAGTATACGTGCTCAAGTTCAAATCGTTCTCTAAGAAATACTTCTTTTGGATGCAGGTAATTTCATTTCTTTTTTTATATAACAGTTTTGGTAGCCATATATTGACATTTAATTAATCAGTTGATAAGATTTGCCTTTTAGTGAGTTATCTTTACCTATTAAAAACATGAATTCAAATTTGTGCCAAGCATGGTTTGTGGTGTCATCACTGTCATCTGTTAGGATATTTTTAATAAATGTCATGTAAAGATTATCTTTAACTTATATTTACCGTTGTTATAACAGTGAACTGTCAATTGCCTTAAAATTTTCCTGTTAGGAATTACTACCCAAAAAGACATGACTTGTAAGTTATGAACTTGGTTATGCCTCAGTTTAAAGAATTGAGATCTATTTTGAATTACAATGAAAAAGACAAAAAATAAAAATGAAATAATTTGTTGTGTTCAATAACACAATAGTAAATGGTCTAAAAAATAGCAGTGATACAATAGCAAATAAACATGTGTGGTATTGTTATAGAAAATACTCTCAAAAACATTTATTTTTAAATTAATGTGTTTTAAACTTTAAGGAGCCTAAAAGTGATAAGGATGATGAGTATTGCCGTCGCATCAATGAAGCATTGAACAACCCACCAACATCCGGTGGCCGTGGGGGAGGTGGAGGTGGAGCACAAGATGGAGAACTACAAAACCTGCTAAACAACATGTCTCAGCAGCAACTCATGCAGCTCTTTGGAGGCGTCGGACAGATTGGGGGCTTGTCTTCCCTTCTTGGAACTATGGGGTATAATTTGTTTTTTGTATAATAATAGAATAAGAACTATCAGTTTCCGGATGATTTATTCTAACACTTTTCTAATATATAATGAAAATAGAATTTGAAGGAATGAAAATGTAAATATGTGATGTTCATTTATTTTTTGTTTCTAGGAACAATAGTAGCAGTTCGGGCAGTGGGGGCAGTACTCGCGCGTCAGGCGGCAGTAGCGCAAGCTCCCGCGGAGGCAGCGCTCCGCGAACCAGTGAGCCTGCGTCCGCACCCGCTCCTGCTGCGCCCGCCCCCGCAGCTCCTGCACGCGCCGCTCCCCGCCGCGATGTGCCTCCCGCAGCTACGCCGCCCAATACTGCTAGCGCCACGCAACCGCGCAGTGAGGACTAAACTTATTCACTACATCAAAATAATGTTGTCATTGGGTTGCATCATGATTTATTCCTTTTTATTGTCCCTCTTTTCAATTCTACGAATATACAATTAATTAATTATAAATATTTTAAGCATTATATATGTACTCTGCAGGCGGACAAATCTTCCTATCCGATTTGCAACGCTACTTCTCGACCTTAGGCAATGCGCCTCCCGACGCGGCTGGTGCAGGGGGTGCGGCCGGTGCGGAGGGCGGGGCCGGCAGCCCCGGCGCCGGGGGTAATCGCCTGGAGCTGGGCGCAGCGCTCGCCTCCTCCGACGTGGTGGCGGCGGCCAGCGAGCCCCGCAACGCGCAGCGCTTGGCGCAGCACCTGCCCGCCGCTGCGGCCGCGCCCGACGCCGCCGCCGCCGGTGCCGCCACCGCCGCCGCCACTGCTGCGGCCAAGGCCCACGACGATGTAAGGACCACCCTACGCTCACCGCAGTTCGCGCAGGTGAACCCCCTGATAGATAGGCTTCGGTATATGCTGGGTTGCAGACCTTACTAGCACGAAATCACTTTATGATTCTTCTATTTGAAAAATATAAGCTCTCATTAAAGTATCTATTACACTAGTTTCACTTACAAACATTACATTAAATTCCTTTAGAAATACACTAAAGAAGGGTTAAAGAAAGAAGTTTTATTGTATGACAAATTTTAATACCCGAAAATTTGTATTTATTCACAATTTTATTCACACGCCGTAATATTGATGTGCATCATAAATGATTGATTGTGGTAAAATAAGTCCATTGTTTTCTCTTTTTGGACAAAAACTTGTTTTTGTGTTACAAAGAAAACTACTTCATACCCACATCAAATTATACCATTTATACCTAAATATTTCTTTATATACTATGATATGTATATATGTTTTATACTACACAATAATATGAGAGCTTACATTTTTATTCCTAATCTTGATCGCAAACATTTTTGGCTCGTACTAATGTGGCTTTTAAATTGCTAGGCTAAAATAATTTATATGGGTTTTGAATTCATATAAAAATATGCCGAAATTATCTATATTTGTATATACGACCGCCGTATTCCTTTAATACGGAAAGTCTAACTTTTACTCTTCAATATCACTATATGCCATTTTTATCTAGTGTTCATAGTTAAAAGCAGAATATTTCAGTACTGCAGTTCATAGTGGGGTGAACATTAGTTTAACACTATATTAAAGTTCAAAGTACATATGATATTCATAATAAACTAAGGATAATATAAATGTTTTTTCAGGCAGCTAATCAATTCTCTGCTGCGCTTTCATCTGGTCAGATGGGTCCGGTCATGAACCAGTTTGGACTGCCCCCGGAGGTGACATCTGCCGCGAGCACCGGTGACATGCAGGCATTCTTCAAAGCATTGGAGAATACCTCCAATGCATCTGATTCCTCCAAGAGCCAGGAGGAAGATAAAAAGAAAGAAAAGGCAAAGGAAGAGAAGGATGGCAAAAAAGATGATGATGCTGGAATGTCGTTAGATTAATTTTATTTGGAAATAATAAATAGGGTACATCCCTAGAAGTATTTTCAATTTATCGCTTTTCAATAGTGTAGTTTTATTCTATTTATATGTAGTGTTGTCTTTTTCGCCATATGTAAAGGGTAGATATATAATATGTTTAGACATATTAATTGATGTAAAGGCATTCACATTATGTACTGTTAATGTCGACATAACATAATATTTTGTGGCTTTCTGTTTTTTACTTATTTCCTTTGTATTACCCATGACCATAAATGATCCATTTTATTACTTTGAATGAGGATGTTCTTATGTTTTGGTAAGGCACATGCATTTGTATCATTGTTCGAATGTTATATTCAAATATAAACTAATAAATATTCAATTTTGTTGTTTTAAGTTAGTATTAAACCAGGGTATATAATTTTTAACATGCAAAAAAAATCACAACTAACTTCATGAAGTACCAGTTCTATCGTGTTTTAGCTAGTGTAGTACTAGCCCGTGACTCCGTCAGCACAGAATTAAAAAAAATACCAACTATGACGCCGTGTGGGAAGGGGGAATTCCCCTTGGAGAATCAAAAATTGTAAAATAAATATATGTATATACCTATTTTACAATTTTTAAGGCTTGACCAACAAATCTTTAAAACTTTATAAAAAGGGAGTGTATTTTATACGGAGATTTTGGTGTCAGAAACCTACGCTAACTACTTGTCAATTTTTATTTAACAATTCGATCAAACGTTACTAAGCGTTCGTTTTGAAAAAAAAAATGTTACTACTAGCTATTAGCCCTTGCATTACGCGCCAAAAAATTGGGCGGAAGAATTTACATTCGTCGGTCATCGGTGGCGTGTGTTGCCGGTGAGGTAACTGCTCGTTTCAATCTCGAATGTAAGCTTACTCGCATCTAAATATCCACAGCATTTGATTATGATTTGAATAAAAGACTTATTACGTAAGCTGTGAACACGTCATCGCACGGTAGGTACAGACCACAGACATTCGGTGTTTATCTATGTCATGTTTAGCAATTTACAGCTTTAACTTCTTAAAGTCAAGGCACAGTTTGGCAAGCTACTTATGCTTACTTTTTTATTTCATTTGCATATTTTGAAATTGCTAATATTGTGAAGAAACGTAAATATGTACTTAGATCTCACCGTTGGTAATCTGTAAGTATTGTGCCTAAATTTAAAAAATATGCTAATACTCTTTATATTATAATTATCATAAAAAATTCAGATATTGTCCGTTATATATTATCTTAATATCTAGTCGGCCATGTTTTACATCGTAAGTCTTCAACTTCAATGGTTGTTTGGTTAAATGAAACGGCGACAACTTTCATTTTAAACAAGAAACGAGTCGATGCTCGGTAGCCACTATAAATGAACACGAAGCGGCGAAGCATTTTAGATTAGGTATGGAGCGGGAGCGAAGGCAAGGCACGGTTGCGCGTGACCTCGGGGCGGGGCGCGGGGCGCTGGGGAATCCTTCTGGCGCCAGACCGGCACCGGTGTCTGCCCGCGCCCTCCGCCCCGCGACGGCCCCGCGCCACTCCACTCGAAATAGATGCACGGTGATTTACGCCTCGGGCGTATGAGTAAATATGTAGCTCGCTTGCCTGCCTTGGCACGTCCGCCCGCCCCCGCCCTCGCCCCCGCTGCCGCTCACCGCACCGCTCTCTCGCGGACCTGCCGCTGCCGAGCGAGCCGAGCGTGCGATGAACGAAACCCGCGCCGCGCGAACAATCGCGACCTACCACGTCTTTGAATGCACGCGCGGTGTACGCCATGACGTTGCCATTTTTTATGTGGATACAGGTAACATCGGTCGCTTTCAAGGTGATACGCTCGTAATGGCAGCACTGTCGCACTAGCCTAGACGGACATTAGCGATTGTTTATGTACCTACATAGAGCGCAGATCTATGTTTAATAGCAAAAAAAAGATGAGCTCTGGAAAGATTTCATTGTTGACGTAGTTATGCGGTGACGTAGGCGAATGACTAACTTTAATCTGTTGTGAGTAGACATTTATATAGAAACTCTGTTATATGAATAAAATGTTACTTATAACTATTGTAAAACTCATGAAATGTCCTAAAATTAATATTACTTTGAGAGTTGGTGCTGGACTTGGTACACTGTTTTTTTTTATTTATCATAATAAGTATAATTTTAAAATTGAACTGCAGCTAATACGTACGTTACATAAAAAAAACATTAATGGATTTCTTAATGAGCGCTTTAACTATTATTTAGTTACAAAATATCACGTCGGATAATAAACATTCCTTGATTTTGTTAAGTAGTGTATCAAAGAGACAAGATTGAATTCAATGTAATTACAAACTGGTTTCGTTCTAGAACAGTAATAAATGAATCATAACTGAAGTTGGTATTTATTGCATTAACTAGTGATCGCCCGACTACGTCCGCGCGGAATTAAAAAAAATCAGTAGCCCATGTGTTTTCCAAATTATGTCCTATATCTATGCCAATTTTCATCAAAATCTGTTTCTGGTTCTGGAGATACCTTCTCCTATTCATCCATAAATCAGAACATTCGTATTTGAGTAAGACATCAATTTAAAAACGATTTATCAATGAACTATCTGTTTTTTTATCTCGTCCATACACCGTGTATACAAAGTAGGTAGATAATCGAAAAGATTAACTAATATTCAAATATGTGTTGCAATAATGGTGAAAGGAATTTGCAAACTCATATTCATTGTAATTTAATAGCTCGATGTAACATGGCCTCAATGTATTACTCGAGTAAATAAATTTCCTATGCAAAGATACTGTGATATTATATAGGTACGTCACTGTAAATAATTTACATGAAACGATTGTATTTTTGCAAATATTTACTTCGTATAACTAGACGCGATATAATTTTTATCACGATTTACTTATCATACTGATAACTTTATTGTGTGTAAAGATGTCATAGAATTGTTATTATTTTACTTTGTAACAAAATTCATAACATTTTCCAAAAAGTTCTACCGATTTTTCATCTTTGTACTTTCTCTTTTTATGCTATACGATCTACGAAGAAATAACAAAGAAAGGTGATTTAAGGTTATCGCGCATTGCTGCAATCATCGCCCACCCGGCACCGCCTCTACTCGTGACCGCCGCGGCGTTAACTCGCCGCCGATTCGACTACGACATCGTCGATTGATTGTGGTGACGTTACGCGGTCCACTCGCGAACCGCGCACCGTTCACTTGCCATAACGCCGAACGCCGGGCGTGGAGTTAAGTCGGCGTTAACCCTTAGTTAACTATTTGGCAACTTCAGAGACGATAATTGGTCACCTTTCTCTCGATATAGTGAGATGATTCCAGACTAAGATACTGCTTAAATAACCAAGAAGTCTAGGAAATACGGATACACGTAACAGAACTCATAGGAATTGGATGTATGAATATAAATCAATGCTTAGAATTACAGGAGAGCCTGCTTATTTACACTAGTTTCAGTATTAAACATTATCAAAGTTTATATAATTTATAATGGTCAATTGATATAAAAGTGAGGGGGGTCATTAGCAGCGTTGCAAGCGAGGTGGGGCGCACCAACGATCAGGGAACAAAAAGCGTCGCGCTCTGCGCAGGCGCAGGCCAGGCGCACGGCGAAGGACCGGTCCCACAGGTTCTGCTCGGTCTCAGTCGCCGCCTGCCGACGCCGCGCCGCCTCTACTCCATTCATCATGTTACAATCACTCGATCCGTGGAATTTCAACTGACTCAGGTGAAACGATATTAAGTCTTACATAGGTAACTGACGTCAACTTTTTGATAATTAAAATCGTTCACTAATTATAATCGTGGAAGAGATTAAATCATGTGTCTATGGTTAAAGTTGGAATAACGTTCGTCTAAATTGGTGTGGGCAGAATTATCATTAATCAGTTGCAATATAAGCTAAGACATTAGCTTAAGGACAATGGATACATTTAAAAACAAATCTTAATTAACGTTAAATTAAAATTTTACCTATTGGGCTCGTACCACTGTATATAATGGATAATTAAATATAAACATAAATACGCTATCGATGAATAAATCAATGGAATTTAACGAAATTCTAACAATGGATTATCACACAAAAACAACAAAACAGAATATTGAACCTGATATTGCTCTGGTATTGTGATGAATTTAGTAAGATAAAAAAAAAATTGTTGATTGGAATCCTTTGGAACTCGGGATTTTGAGCCAAGATGATATTACAATTTTTACAGATATCTCATAATAGTTTTGAGGGACCAGAGACTTATTGTGGTCACAAAATTGAAACGTAGATGACATAAAATTGACTCTGAAAGTTGATACTATATTACAAACTTTTAATACAAAACCTATTTATAATCATGAAAAATCTACACAAACATAATTAAGAAAAGTTTAAGAATAAATAAAATAATATATGTGCATTACAAAAATCAAACTTACTTAAAAGCATTAATAAAAAATTGCGTTTTTATGTCGGTACATTATTTTAAGCAGCAAAGGGCCATGTTAAAAGGGCTGGCTACCTAGTGACGGGCGAGCAGGTGCATTGTCGACCTGAGAACCCGCGTTCCTTGTTTACAAGTTCTCCGAACCTAAAGTCAATGCGCCATAAAATGCGATTACTTGTTCTTTTTTTAATTTTTGTTAACCATTATATACATTATCATTAATTTGCCTCATTTTAATTTTAAATATAGAATAAATGATACAATGGAATTGTACATACGCGTAATTACGTTTAATGTTTGAAACGATCACTTACTGAGCGCGTGCAAAGTTTATTTTTTAAATACGTACAAAGTGCAATTAATTATGTAAGTATCGCGCAGGTCATCAGTAACAGTTAAAGTGACCCTTATTGAATTTTATTCATTCACTTAGGCCGTTCCACGATAACTGGAATTCGTTTCTTACACATAAGAATGATTCATTAATATTTTATCATACACTTACACAAATGATAATGATTCGAATGATAATCGAAAAATATAACATTTGAAAAATCCATATACATATGCTTTAATCCAAACTTATCTATCTTTGTATTCGTGTGCTCTATCTTTATTCTCCTTTTTGATAATTTTGGTATAATCTATTTTTTTAAGTTTAATTTTTCCAAATGAAAACTGCAATGTGTACGTGCATTGGTATCTATATATAAAAATACTAGATGTCGCCCGCGACTCCATCAGC